CCAGCTGGCAGTGGGGTCTCTCGGGCAGGTTTGGAGCCCTGTTTCTCCCACAGGTACGGTGGTTTCTCCCTGGGTGCCGGCGGCTCCCAGGCCCTGCCGTCGGCGGCAGAGGTGGATCAGGCGGTGCTGGAGCTCCGGGCACTGCTCAACATCACCCTGGTATGGCTGGGCTCAGGCCCCCAGCTTGGCTCCCCTGCCCTGGTGCTGGGAGCCCCCTCCTCACCCTGTTCCCACACCCAGGGCAGCCCCTCGGATCGGCTCCTGGCCAATGTCAGCCGCTTCATTGAGGGTTTGGATGCCCGCAGGAACATCAAGGTGCACCCAGGGCTGGGAGTCCCACGGGGGCGAGAGCTGGGGGGCAGCGGGGATGTGGCACCTGGATCCCCTCTGGGGGTGGAGTGGCCCAAAAGGGACCAAAAGGCTGGGGCTGGAGGGGAGTGGGTGGCACAGTGGGTGGGGATGGGGGTACCAGGGGCACAGCCAGGGGCAGTGCCAGGGCGGGTGGAGGGCTCTAAGCTGCTGGGCCCCCGTGTGCTGCAGGTCTGGTTCAACAACAAGGGCTGGCACGCCATGGTCTCCTTCCTCAATGTGGCCAGCAACGGGCTGCTGCGTGCCCGGCTGCCCCCCGGCACCGACCCCACGCAATTCGGCATCACAGCCACCAACCACCCCCTCAACCTCACCAAGGAGCAGCTCTCTGAGGCCGCCCTGTGAGTGCTGGGGATGGGGGTCCCGCAGACCCTCCAGCCCTCGCTGAGCCCCCCCCTCCATGGCAGGATGGCCACCTCCGTGGACGTGCTGGTCTCCATCTGCGTGATCTTCGCCATGTCCTTCGTCCCGGCCAGCTTCGTCGTCTTCCTCATCGAGGAGCGGGTCAGCAAGGCCAAGCACCTGCAGTTTGTCAGCGGGATGAAGCCCCTCACCTACTGGCTGGGCAACTTCGCCTGGGACATGGTGGGGATGGGGATGGGGACAGGGACCAGTTCCTGAGGGAGCAGGTCCCACCCCTGACCTTTTCCCGGCTTCTCTATCCCCACAGTGCAACTACCTCGTCCCCGCACTGCTGGTCATCCTCATCTTCCTCTGCTTCCAGCAGAAATCCTACGTGTCCTCGGACAACCTGCCCTCCCTGGTGCTGCTGCTGCTGCTCTACGGGTGATGGGGCAGCAGAGCCCAGCGGGGGCAAGGGGGGCACGGGGGGCTCTGAGTGGGGCTGGGGGCAGCCGGGGTGAGGGGGATTGTGGTGCTGGGGGTGGGGGGTGTTTTGCATCCCCCAGGATGGGGGCTGCATCTCAGCCAGCCCCTGCCTTTCTCCCTTGTAGCTGGTCCATCACCCCCCTGATGTACCCAGCCTCCTTCCTCTTCAGCATCCCCAGCACTGCCTACGTGGCCCTGACCTGCATCAACCTCTTCATTGGCATCAACGGCAGTGTGGCCACCTTCGTGCTGGAGCTCTTTGTGGACCAGGTGAGCCTTGGGATGCCCTGGATCCCCTGTCCCACTCCCATGGGGCCAGTGCCAGCTGACTCACCCCTCTCTTTGCTGCCCTGGCAGAACCTCAATGACATCAACCGTGTCCTGAAGAAGGTTTTCCTCATCTTTCCCCACTTCTGCCTGGGCCGAGGCCTCATCGACATGGTGAAGAACCAGGCGATGGCCGATGCCTTCGAGAGGTTTGGTGAGTCAGGGGGTGTCAGGGCTGCTCCCCCTCCCCAAAACCTGGCCAGCTCAGGGGTCCACCCCTCCTACAGCCCCTCTCGTGCTCACAGGGGACAGGCGCTTCGTGTCCCCCCTCTCCTGGGACCTGGCGGGGAAGAACATGTTCGCCATGGCCGTCGAGGGCATCATCTTCTTCCTCTTCACCCTCCTGCTGCAGTACCGCTTCTTCCTGCGGCTGGGGTGAGCACCCCGGGGGTGCCTGGGGGGTTCCTGCAGATGGGCAGCCCTGGACGTGCCCCTGCCACTGTTCCCCCAGGCCACGGGCTCCAGAGCTGCCCTCACTGGGGGACGAGGACGGAGACGTGGCCAGGGAGCGGGCGAGGGTGGGCAGCATCCCCCCCCCAGGGCCACCTCCTGCTGCTGAAGGACCTGACCAAGGTGGGTGTGTAGGGCTGGACCCCCCCGCAGCCCCGGACCCCCCGTGAGGGATGGGAGCACCCAGTGCTGCCTCTCCCCGCTCAGGTGTACCGGCGCAGGAAGGCTCCGGCCGTGGACCGGCTCTGCGTGGCCATCCCCCCCGGGGAGGTGAGGGACAGACGGACGGATGGACGGCACCGTGGGCAGGGCCGGGGCTGCTGGTGACCCTGCTCTGTCCCCACAGTGCTTTGGCCTCCTGGGGGTGAACGGCGCTGGAAAGACTTCGACCTTCAAGATGCTGACGGGGGACACGGAGGTGACGCTGGGGGAGGCCTGGCTGAAGGGGCACAGGTGGTGAACGCAGGACCCCACAGCTGCTCCCTCTCTCCGTGTCCCCACAGCACCTGTGCCATCACCCCTATCCTGTGCTCCTTCTGGTCCTCGCCCTTGCAGTGTGCTTGTGCTCACCTTCATCCTCATCCTCATCCCTGCAGCTGCTCGTCCCTATTCCTACAGTGTCCCTGCAGTGTCCCTCACAACATGCTCATCTGTCCCTGTCCCACACTTGCCTGTCCCCATCCTGTGCTCACCTGTCCCCATCCCCAGAGCGTGCTGACCTGTCCTTGCCCACAGTGTGCTCACCGACCTCCAGTCTGTCCACCAGCACATGGGTTACTGTCCCCAGTTCGATGCCATCACAGACCTGCTGACGGGGCGGGAGCACCTGGAGTTCTACAGTCGCCTGCGTGGGGTCCCAGAGGAGGAGACCCCCAGGGTAGGGCCCTCATCCCAGCCCCTCCAGCCCAGGAGACCCCCACCCTCACCCCCTCGGCCCCTCTGTCTCTCGCAGGTGGCTCAGTGGGGCATCACCGCGCTGGGGCTGGGGCCGCACGCGGACCGGCCCGCGGGCAAGTACAGCGGGGGCAACAAACGCAAGCTCTCCACGGCCATCGCCCTCCTCGGCTGCCCCCCCGTCGTCTTCCTGGTGAGGGGGGCAGCGGGGGGTCCCACAGCAGCACCGGGGTCCTGCCTGGGCTGACCCTGAGCCGGGGCCGTTGCAGGATGAGCCCACGACGGGGATGGACCCACAAGCCCGGCGGTTCCTGTGGGAACGCATCCTGGGCGTCATCCGGGACGGCCGGTCCGTGGTGCTCATGTCCCACAGGTGATTCCCCACCCGGGGTCTGCAGCCCCCACACTGGGGAGCAACCCCCATGCCCCCGGGAATCCCCCAGAGGGGAGCTCCCCTCTGCCCTGGGGGTCTCACTCGTGCCCCCCAGCATGGAGGAGTGCGAGGCGCTCTGCACCAGGATGGCCATCATGGTCAACGGCCGGTTCCGCTGCCTGGGCAGTGTCCAGCACCTCAAGAACAGGTACCGGGGTGGGGAGCTCGGGGGCTCCTTGAGGCGGGGGCTGCGGCCGGTCCCCGCAGCGGTGTCCCCTCTCCCCGCAGGTTTGGGGACGGGTACACGGTGGTGGTGCGGGCGGGCGGCCCCGGCCCGGCGGCGGTGCAGGCCCTGCTGCAGCGGCACTTCCCCGCCATCGAGCTGCGGGAGCGGCACGGGGGGCTGCTGCGCTACCACCTGCCTGCCCGCGCCGCCCCCCTGGCCGCCGTCTTCAGCCTCCTGGCCGCCCACCGTGGCCCCTGCCACATCGAGGACTACTCCGTGTCCCAGACCACCCTCGACCAGGTGACGGGGCACGCAGGTGTGGGGCTGTGGCTGGGGGTCCCGTGGCACTGTCTCTCACCCCACCATCCCTGCAGGTCTTCGTGCACTTTGCCCAGGAGCAGAGCGACGGGGACCCCGGGGAGGCTGCGGTGCCAGGGCAGGATGTGGCCCCCAGCCCTGGGAGGAGGCTGAGCACGTTCCTGGAGGATGACAGCTACCAGGAGAGCGCTGTCTGAGCGAGGAGTGGTGCCCCATGGACCCTCACAGACCACTCCCCAGTCGCCACCGCAGCACGACCTGGGGTCACAGGGCTTCGGGGCACCCCAGACCCCCGGAGCTGCACAGGGGAGGCCTGGGCACATCCTGCCCACTGGCGTGGTTTCACCATCCCATGGGACAGTGGGTGCTGGGGAGTGTCAGAGCATCAGGGCAGGGCTGGCCCCAGATCCCTGTGGGTGGTGCCCTGTGGGGAAGTTGATCTGGATGGGGGGTCTGGGGCTGGCCCTGGGACCCCCCCTGTCCCCAGGACCCCTCCTGCTCCCCACTGGAGCCGAGCTTGCTGTAACTGAGCAATTCAATAAAGACCCGCGGTACTGACGGGGGGGCCTGATTGCCCTCACCATGACGTGACCCCACTGGGGGACAGGGGGCACAGCAGGACAGGGGCACAGCGGGACAGGGCAGCAGTGTGGCCCCGGCACAGTTGGACACACAGACCTGCAGGGCTGCGCCTGGGGCTCCCCCCGACCTGGAGGTGGGCACTGGCACCCCCCGAGCCGCACCTCGGGGGTCCAAAAGGGTCCTCCCGGGGCGGGGTTTGTGACCCTCCCAAGGGAAAAAAAAAATATGGAACGCTTCACGAATTTGCGTGTCATCCTTGCGCAGGGGCCATGCTAATCTTCTCTGTATCGTTCCAATTTTAGTATATGTGCTGCCGAAGCGAGCACGAATCCCAACCGTGCAGGAACTGTACTTAAACCCCTCTCAACTAAAAATTTTCAAGTCATGGCGAGTAGCTCCTCAAACTCCCCTACATTTCTCCGCCTGGTCACCCTCCCAAGCGATGCGCGTTGGATTTTTACTTTAAATCTTCCGTTCTACCAGGTTACTTTTTTGCCTTTCTGAGGACGAGTTTAAGCGCGGAGCGACAGGCCTCGCGCGGAGCATGGTGGGAATGCTGTTAATTTACGTATGGGGGCGCGGCGTGGCCGGCGCGTGTCCTCCACCGTCCCGTCGTGCCCCGGGCGCGCGCGCGCATGCGCGGAGCCGCCGTTGCCGGCGGGGGAAGATGGCGGCGGAGCGCTGAGGGACGGGACGGGAGAGGTGGAACCGACCCGACCCCCCCGCCGCACCAGCGACTCCCATGGCCCGGGGCCGGCCCGGCAGCCGCGTCCCCGCTGCGCCTGCTCGGGCCGCCACAGCACCCGGGCCCCGCTGAGCGCCCAGGCCTGACTCGCGGGGCCTGACCCATCGCCACCCCGAGGCGTCTGCGCCGGGCCGGGGCCGGGGAACCGGGACAGAGACGGCGGCCGCCCGGGCCCAGGCACCCCGCCGAGCAGCAGCGGCCGCTCTGGGCCCGGCCCAGCCGCCAGGATGTCCGACAACCAGCCGAACGCCAACAACCACCACCCGGCCAACAACACCGGGGCCGCCGGCGGCAACAACCGGGGCGTCCGCAACCCCAACCTCAACCAGAACCCCCTGATCAACGTGCGCGACCGCCTCTTCCACGCGCTGTTCTTCAAGATGGCAGTGACCTACGCGCGCCTCTTCCCGCCCTCCTTCCGCCGCGTCTTCGAGTTCTTCGTCCTCCTCAAGGTGAGGGGCAGCTCCTCCTGCCAGGCGCAGCCGGGCTGAGGGCAGGGATTTCCTTAGGAACAAAAAGTTGTGGCTCTGCCGGAGGTCACAGCCTGTGTTTGGGCCGCACACACCAAGCTGTCCCCAGAGCTCCCGTGGGCCTCTCCTGTGTGGGAGACACGAGGAGTTCAGCGATCTGTGGTGGTCCCGGTGGTTCCTGCACTCTGGGGCTCTGGTTCCAGGTCTGCAAATCCAAAGGAAATCCCTGAGCCAGGTCACTGGGCAGCCAGGCTGGTGCAGGGCATGTCCTGGGCTCTGAGCTGGAGAGGATTCGGTTTCTGTTTCCAGGAAATCACGCTTTGGATTCATTGCACACATGACATACTGGATTGTTGGAGTTTTGTTGGAGTCTTGTCTTTTCTGGAAGCAGTCAAGGCACAGCCCTGTTCTAACCCTGCTTTTTCAGCAGTGCCAGTGCAGCACAGCTCTGCCCCGGGGTGAACCCTTCTGCCTGCTGGGGCCCCCCAGGGAGGCCTGCCTGTCAGTGTGCAGGGGTGAGCTGCCAGTAGGTTAAATCCTGCTCCATGGCTTCCAGGATGGGAAATGAGAGTAAGAAGGGGAGAGCAACTTGCCAGGCCACCCTCCTGCTCTGGGTTTTTACAATTCAGCAAGAAAATGTTCAGCACAGCTTGTCTCATACTGCACAGATACTTTTTCTACCCTCCCAAGAAACGTTATGGATTTTCACATCCCTGTTCTGTGTCCCAGTTGTCCAGCTGGATCCCAGCAGACAGGCTGGGACAGGGGTGGTGCTCAGGGTGTGCCTGTTGGGCAGAGCAGCTGGGAGCTGTTCGTGCTGCTTCTGCCTGTGATCGCTGCCATCCTGGAGAATGAAGAGCATTCCCAGAGCCCTGCAGGGTCAGGGGCCAGCAGCCTCCAGCCTGCTCTGGCTGCTGGGCACAGGGAAGCAGAGCCTGTCCAGAGCTCCTGCAACCAGGGAGGTGGCTCTGGTTTACCTTCCCTCACATCCCTCGTGCAGCTGCTCTGCAGAGGGATGTTTACCAGCCTTGTTTGTTCATCACAAATAGGTCAGGACAGCTGGGCTGATGAGGAGGGAGCAGCTCGGGGTGGGTGGAAGGGAGGTCTGAGCTCAGCGGTGCCGCTCGCTGTGCCGGCCGTGCTCGGAGCTCTGAACTTTGGATGTCATGCACAGTTACTGTCTGTGCTTTAGGGAGCGGGTTTTATTAGTGCAGGCTGCTTTGCTGTGGTTTATAGCTGTTCCTGGGGTTGAGGCAGGGCAGGGAGCCCTTTGGCCGCCCTGGGGCAGGGCCTGTTCCTTGCAGCGACAGGTCTGCCGTGGGTTTGGGTCGTCCTGCCCTCGGAGGGGTTGGCTTTGGGAGAGGTTTGCTTTATTCTGCCTTTGGAAGGCTGGGCAGTCTTCTCTGGGCTTCAGCAGGAAACTCTTTGTGCTGAGGAGGGAAGGGTTGGAAGCCATGGATGCATTTCCATTCCTTTCAACGTGCCTTGTAGCCTCGTTCCACGTTAGTGCTGCGTGTGGTTCAGCTTGGGGAAGGTGTTGGTTGCAGGACCTGTGCTTCCAGCAGGGTACCTGAGCTGCACAAGAGTTGAGGGCAGCTCTGCTCATGAACAGGAGCTGGAGGTTCCTGCTGCCTTTGGTGTGTTCCTTGCTCAAACTGCCAGGGTCTGGCTCCTGCCTTGTTGATGCAGGGAAGCACCGAAGCTCTTGTCCACTTGCCAAATCCACTTGTCCAAGTTTTCCTAGTGGTTTATGGGCAAAGAGGAGCTGGTGGTAACTGGGAAGGCTGTGCTCGGGCTGAGGGTGGCCGGGCTGACGGTCTGTGCCTCGTCTCCTGCCCTGCAGGCTCTCTTCGTGCTCTTCATCCTGGCCTACATCCACATCGCCTTCTCCCGCTCGCCCATCAACTGCCTGGAGCACGTGCGGGACAAGTGGCCCCGCGACGGGATCCTGCGGGTGGAGATCCAGCGCAACTCCAGCCGGGCCCCCGTCTTCCTGCAGTTCTGCGGCGGAGAGAAGTTCCCGGGAATGGTGGTTGAGTCCGCGGCTGAGGAGGAGGAGGAAGAAGAGGAAGAAATGACTGTGGATATGTTTGAAAACAGCTCTATCAAGGTTAGGGATGTGCTCCCTGAGTGGGTCAGAGAGGGAGACCTGGGTGATGGGCTGGGGAGAGATGGTTGGTTGTAAGTGTGTGATCCCTCAGTCTCCTGGAAGTAAAGTGGGTTCCTTGGCTGCTCCTGAATTCCCATATTGGCTTCTGCTGGTTTAACACGGGAAGCGAGAAGGTGGCCTGAGAAAGTGGCCTCTCCCACCCCTGTGGCAGTGGAGGCCTTTGCAGGGACAGAGGGAGCATGGCAGCTGGGAGGTGAAGAGCCTGCTGATGTGACTTTCCCTGCCCTGGTTTTCCAACAGTTTGAGCTGGATATCGAGCCCAAGGTGTTCCTCAAGCCGTCCCGGGTGAGCAGCACTGAGCTGCCCCACAACGACAGCCAGGAGTTCTCGTTTAGTGACACAGCCACTAAAGGTATGCAGCCTCTGCGGGAGACTGTGTCCGAGTTTGAGATGCTAACCCGAGCAGGTAATCACACCTTCACTGCTACCTGTGCTCCTCCCCCCGTCATCCTCCCCTCACATCCCATCCTGGCTCCTCGGGGCGCCCACAGTGACCTTAAATGTGTTCACCTGGGGTTAGTCCTGTCAGACCCACAGTGAGCTCTGCCCCACGGCTGGGGGGTGTCAGGGGGAGGCCAGGGGTTGGGGGAGGCTGGGCTAGAAGCGTTGCCAGACCAAGAGGCTTCAGGTGAAGCACAGGTGAGCGAGGGCTCCTGGTCTGGCAGTGCGTTCCTGCGGTGATGGGTGTCAGGTATCTCAGGTGAGCCTGAACCCCCCTGTGAGCCGCAGGGATCCCCTGGCAGTGACACTCCTCCTCACATGAGCAGGGTTTGGGCTGTGTTCTGGGTCCTGAGCCAGCAATTTTTTGGAGCAGCCAATTTGCTCCAATTAAGGAATCCCAAAAGCCGCCGGGCGGGTTCCGTGGGTTGCGATACCACCCGGCCTTGTCCTGCCCTGTTCCTGCCTGGCCTGAGCTGCTCAGGCCTCATAAACTCCAGAGGGGGATTTAGTGCCTTTGTGTTATTTAAAATGGAATTTCAGTGTGGAAAACTTGTGTCTCTGGTGGTTAAGGGAGGAAATCTACTGAGGAATATTTATGTTAAAATAGAGATGTGGAATTGGATTCTTTGCCTTTTTCCACAAAATTTGCAAAAAAATTGCCTCTTTCACTCACACTGTTGTCTCTGGAAAGGCTGGAACTCTTTGCTCTGCAGACATACTGGGGTTGTGTCTGTGGAGGAAGGGGAGACCAGACACTGCTCTGTTCCTTGGTCTTGCAGTGGATTTGCTTGATGCTGATCCAGAGCTCATTAGCCCTGAATTAAAGATCATTAAGACCAGAGAGCAGTAAATGTTTTTGGTGCAGGACCTTTATTGCCCAGATTCTGAGGAGAGTCACGTTGTGCAGAGCTGTGGCACTGCTGGGGTAACTCTTGGTTTGCTGAACGCGTGGCTGGAAATGATCCAGAAAAGGGGAGGAAGAGAATCAGGCTGTTTCCCAGATGAGTTACAAAATTCATCTCTTCAAATTGGTCCCAAATACCTGAGTTTATTGTTTTTTGCCAGATTTCCTGTGCTCTAAGTGAACAAAATTTGCTGTTTAGTCCAAATGTTTTTGCCGTGGAAAAATATTTTATGAGACAAAGGAAGTAATTGTTGATATTTAAACCCTTGACTTCCTTTTGAGATTAAAACTGTTTATAATGGAAACAAAAGACAAAACCGACAGCCCAGCCTGTGTTTGCTGCCTGAGAAGGGGATCAGGGGCTGCATCTCTGTCAGTGCTGTGTCAGGTGTGTCTCTGTTAAGTTCTCATCACTTTAATTGTCACTGTGGTGCTGGGAGCTGCCTGACAGCTGCCTCTCCCCTCCTGGAGATACACCCTGACAGTCTGAAAGAGCAGGGATTAAATTGCTTGGCTCCAGCTTAGCAGGAGGTTTTGTCCTTTCAGAGATGATGTAGCAAAAAGCATCTGTTTGGAACCTTTCTTGGGAAAAAAAAAAACAAAACCAGGGAAACTTCAGGCACCACCGGTTTTTGGGAGAGCTGTAATTGCTGCTGCCTTCTGCTCTGATGTGTAATTGCAGCAGTGACCTCAGTCCCCCAGGAAGTGCAGGGCTCTTGCCTGTGGAGCATTTACTCAGTGTTCAGCAGGTGTAAAGTGGATTTTCCTGCTGTTTCCCAAACAACATGGGAAGCAGAAATTGAAAAGAGCAAGAACAAGTGATTCTGGGCTTGCCAGGCACAGATGTGGGCAGGTTCTGTGCAGAGCTTGGAAGTGCTGCCCTGAAGCTTTCCCAGAAGCCTCACATTAAGGACTAAGGTCAGGGGAATGGGCTGCAATTCCAAAGAGTTTGAACTGATTTATGTTTAAGTGGTTGAGGGAAGCCTGGAGCCCATGTTTGCAGCTGGTTCCCTTTTCAAGAATGTGATGGGAGGGAGGGAACGAACCCAGAGGGGCTGTTTCTTCGTGGTGGTTGTTTGCAGACCCAGGTGCTGAGCCTCCCTGTGTCCCTCCCTGTGTCCCTCCCTGTGTCCCTCCTGTCCCTCTCCAGTGTGGCCACAGGAGGAGTACATTGTGGAGTACTCGCTGGAATACGGCTTCCTGCGCCTGTCCCAGAGCACACGGCAGCGCCTCAGCATCCCAGTCATGGTGGTGACCCTGGGTGAGTGGGGAGGCAGCCTGGGCAGGGGCAGGGGGTGCAGGGGTGGGGACCTGCTGGGCAGAGACCTCAACACTGTCTCTGGGAACTCTTTACGAAGCTGGTGGCACTCACTTCCCACGCAGGAGAGCTGCTGTGTGCAGCCCGTCTCCCTTTAGTAGGTCACAGCTTTCTGGGAGGAGCACTCTGAAATGGTGGAGCCTGGTTCAGTGAGCCCTGATGTCATGCCCAGCACAATTTTTTCTGATGGAGAAGGGAAGAACCCTCTCCCTGGCTGAAGGCACTGAAGCTCTGGGCTCAGTGGGAGCAGCAGCAGTGCAGGGTTAGAGCCCAGTGGTGAGGGCAGCTGTGCAGGTGTTGGGGACGGTGCTCACAGGTCTGTGTCACACTCTCAACATGCTTCTGTGCCCCTGGGAGCACCAGCAGATCATTTCCCTGGAACAGCGTTCTCTTTTTCCTGGCATTTGCTCTGTTAAAACCTGTCCAAGTCAGGAATATAGTCTCAGACCTTCTCGTGCACTGTTAGTGCCGTGATCAGACTGAACCTCGTTACTTCCTCCCACTCGAGCTGAAGCACAACTGGACGGGGGTTTGGGTGATTTTCCTGTGCAGTAATGGGCAGACAGGGTGAGCCAAATTCCCTTTGTGTCTGTGCCAACCCTGACATCCCTGAAGGCCCATTAGCACTTTGACAGTGTGGCTGGATCTGTCAGGGGTGACATCTTCCCTCCCAGACCTGCCCAGTTCGGTCTAACTGCCCCAGGCCCACGTGCTGGCCCAGGCCCAGCTCTGCTGGCACACGTGTCCCTCGGGGTGATGGGATGTGTGCTCCCTTCGTGCCTCTGGGGCTGCGGGTGTGAACAGTCTGAGCAGGTTTTTGTGTTCTCCCTAGACCCTACGAGGGATCAGTGCTTTGGGGACAGGTTCAGCCGCCTGCTGCTGGACGAGTTCCTGGGCTATGATGACATCCTGATGTCAAGTGTCAAAGCTTTAGCTGAAAACGAGGAAAACAAAGGTAAGGCCTGGAGGAGTGACAGCGGCTGCGTGGAGCGGTGGGTGTTTGTTCTGTGCATGCCTGAATATCATCTTCTGACTATTGATTAATCTGTAACACAGGGAGCAGCTCCCTGTGTTATTGTCAAGGACAAAATGAGAGAGGCAGGAGGGGAGAGGTGTCTGGAAACCTGATTTCCTCCCTCCTCACTGCCCTGCATGACAATGAGTGCTGCCCTGAGGATTTGCTCCAAATCCTGTTTCTTTAGCAGGCAGCGATGGTTGGTCCTTAGCCTGTGTGTTGATCATACTGAACCTGTGTTTGTGCTTTTTCTCCAGGTTTCCTTCGCAATGTGGTGTCTGGGGAGCACTATCGCTTCGTCAGCATGTGGATGGCCAGGACGTCCTACCTGGCAGCCTTTGTCATCATGGTCATCTTCGTAAGTCAGCGGGAGCTGGGCAGTGCCTGGGCTCAGCCAGGGCTGGGCAGCATGTGGGTGGTGTAACAGCACAGACCTGAGCTCTCACTTGCTTTTAAAGTGTAGTCGGTGGAGGATGAAGCCCTGGGACTTTAGTTCTGTCCTGCACGACGTTTGTCCTCTGAGACTTTTAAGAACAGGCCAGACTGATTTGCCAGGAGTGATCAAGATAAACGAAGGGATGATGTGTGAGATGAGGCCATCTCAAGATACACATCAGACAAGATCCTGAACGATAACTATGCTGTGTTTGTAGTCTTGGGTGGCTGTGGGACTCTCCCCTTGTGTCTGGCTGTCCCACCCACTGAGGCAGCTCTGTGCACAACCACACTGTGGGCAGTGAGGGAGAACCAAGTGCAGAGAGGTGCTGGGAGCTGCGGCGGGAGCGAGATGGAGGACGGGAGAATCCCTGCTCCCAGCTCTGTGGGTTGGCTTGGCCCCCGCTCAAACATTCAGGATCGGTCCCTTTACAAACAAATCCCTTACTGTCTGTTCCCCTGCAGCAGCACAGAGATTAATTGCCGTTTGTAGAGCCCTAATTACTCTTTGGCAAATTGCTCTGCACAGCTCCAGCTAACGAATGTGGGATGTGCAAGCCCAGGCTCGCCCGGGCCTCTGCCGCAGTGCGATTCCGAGCGACTCCCCACACCCGTGGGGCTCTAACCTGCCTCCCCTTCTCTCTCCTGTTTCAGACTCTGTCTGTCTCGATGCTGTTGCGCTACTCACACCATCAGATCTTTGTCTTCATTGGTAAGGACTGGCTGAGGGTTTTGGGTTGTGCTGGGCACTGTGCCTGCTCCAGCACAGTGTGTCATAGAGTCACAGCAGGTTTGGATTGGAAGGACCTTGAGGAGCCAACCTTGATTTTTGTTGTTTAGAAGGGTCCTACTTTTAGCTGCACAGGGAATCCATCCCCCTGCACCCTGTCACTGCACTCACCAGAGCTATTCTGCCTCCTGACAAGTGCTGGGCACAGAGGATTTGGGATGATGGACTTGGCTGCACTGAGTGGGCAGTACCATGGGGTGGAGAGTTCCTTGGCCCCACATCCTCTCTGTACCACAGTGTGTTTTCCCTCTTGCAGTTGACCTGTTACAGATGCTGGAGATGAACATGACCATTGCGTTCCCTGCGGCTCCGCTCCTCACTGTCATCCTGGCTCTGGTTGGTAAGGACTTGCCTCACTGCTTGTATCTGCAGCACATCCCTCTGGGATCTGTGGGAAGTCTGATTCCCTGTTCCAAGCTGGCCGCGGCAGGTGGTTAGCGCGGCTGCTCATCACAAGGCAGAAGGCTCTGGAATTTGATGGCACAGTGAGCTCCATTGTCCTTCTGGGTCCCCTGGAAAAGCAGCAGTTCATTGGGAAATCCCAGAGTCCGAAGCTTTGTCTGTCCCTGGAGCTCGTTGCAGACTTACATTCTGTAGCCAGATTGCATTTGCACAGTTTGAATTTAAAAAGCCACAGACCCCCTGTAATGTGTGCTGGGGGAGGCAGCTGGTCCCTGCCGTCAGCGCTGGAACACGCTCGGCCTTGGCTGCTGCCGTAACCAGAGCCCAGTTACCTGCCCTGGGCAGGTGCAGTCACAGCCTGGCCCTGGGGTGGCAGAGGGCCCCTTCCCGTGCCCTGCCTGTGCTGATGTCCCCTCTGTCCCCAGGTATGGAGGCCATAATGTCCGAGTTCTTCAATGACACCACGACCGCGTTCTACATCATCCTCATCGTGTGGCTGGCGGACCAGTACGACGCAATCTGCTGCCACACCAACACCAGCAAGAGGCACTGGCTCAGGTGAGGTCTCTCATTCCCTCTCCCTGTCCTTCTCCAGCTGCTCCAGGGCCTTCCCAGTCCCTCCAGGCATGACGGCCTCCACTCCTGAGGGGTGTCTGTGTGGCTTCTTGGGAGCTGCCCCACATGGTACAGGGTCCAAAGTGCAATTGCTCCACTTTGGATTTGTGCCTGGATCTCAGAATCACCTCGACCTTTTCCTGCCCCTTGTTTTGCCCCATTCATAGCCAGGCAACTCTGATTACCTGTTAACGAGTCTGCACTGCCCCAGACCAAGTGCCCCGGCTCAGGCTGGGCTTGGGAGTAGAACAGAGCTCATATTTTTCCTGATTTTCCTTGCCTTCCTGTCTAGGTTTTTCTATCTGTACCACTTTGCCTTCTATGCCTACCACTACCGCTTCAACGGGCAGTACAGCAGCCTGGCACTGGTCACCTCCTGGCTCTTCATCCAGGTGAGTCCCTGCACAGCTGCTGCACCTGGGGGGCTTTGCCAGACTTCCTCTCAAGGGGTTGGAGTAGGGATCCTTTTTTCTGTAAGAGATGGAACTAAACCTGGTTTGGAAATGGCACAGCAGAAGGCAGCTGTGGAACAGGGGAACCTTTGAGTCACTGCCTGCAGTCCAGTCACGGGCATGACAATAAGCTGATGCCACACAGGTTCTGGGAAGGCTTTCTGTTCTCTCCTTCTACAATAAATCCTGATGAGGGTCTGTCTTGCAGAGGAGCTGCTCAGGTCCATGCAGTGAGGATGCTGGCAGGACCAGCTCCGAGGTGATGTCTCCAATATCCTGGATCAGTTAAACCATTTGGGTGTCTCTGGCTGTTGACCTGCTGCAGGGTGGGGGCAGGGAATGGAGCATGACCCGGAGGAATGCCATTATCCTTCTTTTCCCAGCCCTTAAAAGGGAAGAGGGGTTGTACTCTGTTGCCTGTCTTCAGAGAGAAACTATAAAGCAACTTGCAGCAGTCAAAAGTCCAAAGTTTGTGCTAACCTGCTGTCTGTCAGAGCAGCTGGATTCTCCAGGAGAAGTGCAGTTTTCTTGGGATGTGGTAGCTTGTGGCCCAGGCCCAGGAGTGACTCCTTTCCCTCTCTTCCTCCAGCACTCGATGATTTATTTCTTCCACCACTACGAGCTGCCAGCCATCCTGCAGCAGATCCGGATCCAGGAGATGCTGCTGCAGAACCAGCAGGTCGGGCAGGGCACCCAGACCACGCTGCAGGACAACCTCAACAACAACACCACGGCCGCCCCCGTCGAGGTGGGGGGTCGCCGAGCCCCCCTGGCCACCGGGCCCCCCGGGGAGGGCAGCGGCCCGGCCGCCCTGACCCCCGGCGAGGCCTCCAGCGTCATCGCCGCCGCCGCCTCCGTGGGCAGCGACCTGAACTGGGTGGCCGAGACGGCCGCTATCGTGACAGAGGCCTCGTTCCTGTCCGACCTGAGCACGACCCTCCTGGAGCCCGCCGTGGTGCACGAAGCCGTGGCCAACGGGACCCCTCAGGAGGCGACCACGGCCTCTGGTTTGGTCGCCCGCATCAGGGTCAGCAGTGACCGCCCAGAGACGGCCGTGGGCTCCATCACCATCGAGGTCACCTCGACGTCCGTGGTGGCTGCAGCAGATGCTCCCCCTGCTGTGGGGGCTGCGCCCCTCGTCCCGCCACAGGAAGGGGGGGCCCCTGTCCTCAGCCCCTCCCTTCCCAAGCAGACTGAGGCTCTCGAGGGCTCAGACAGCCGAGCAAAACCCGGTGGCAAGAACTGCGTGGGCAGCAGCAGCAGCAGCGTGGCAGAGCCCCCTCCAGCCTCAGGGGGGGACAGTGACCAGGACAGAGGTTTGGAGGACCGGGGGGAGAGCAGCCCCTGCCCAGCACCAGCGGAGAGAACGCCCAGCTCAGAGCCAGGCTCCAGGAACCTGTCCTGAGCCCCGTTCGATCCCTCTGGACTGCCAGGAAGGCATTTGGATTTCGTTTGTTACTATTTCTCACTTCACCATCATCCTTAACCCATGGATCCCTCTGAGCGGAGCCAGAGCAGCAGGGGCAGAGCAGGGCTGTGGTGACCTCCCTTCCCTGGGAAAGGCACAAGGGGCTGCGGGGAGGTTGGGGGGTTTGGTCCCCTGGCCCACACAGCTCCAGGGCTCCTCCAAGGCCACATGGGAGCCTGCTCCTGCCCCATGTCAGCTTGTGCCCCAGCTTTTTCTTGCCCCCCAACCCCGGGCTTCACCCCTGCAGCCGTGTTTGCAGTCCAGGTGCAGGTCCCAACTCTCAGGTGGGAGCTGACCTGGGACAGGCCACAGCACGTGGCAGCTCTGTGGTGAGAGTAGGAGCTGATAGAACAGGCAGAGCATGTCCAGCCCCCATGGGAGAGCCACAGAGAGGAGGGTCCTGGTCACCTTTCCTGCTCCTGAGGGGAGGAGCAGCTGAGACCTTCCGTGGGTGTGAGGTCTGCACACGGCTGGGCAACAACCAAAGCAGAAGCTGCAATTCAGTTCCTTTTTTTCTGCCCTTGAATTTCCCTCGGTGGGTGGGGTGGGGTGTGGAAGGTGCTGTGTCCGGGGGGGAGCTGCCATCTCAGGAGCCACGAGTGATGCCTGGAGGGAGCTGTGCTGCAGCGTGGGTGTCTGTGGAGAGGTGTGGGGCAAGAGCAGCAGCTCTGTCCTGCACAGCTCTGTCCTGCACAGCTCTGCTCTGGGTGAGGCAGCTGCTTTCCAGTGCCTTGTCCCTCCCGTGGACCACATCTGCGTTTAGGATCAGCCCCATCCCAGACGAGAGAGCAGCTTCTCACCCCTGGACTCTTGCATGAGCTGGTTTAGCAAAGAACCAAAACACTAAAGCCAAGACATTTCAGCTGATTTTCCCCTGTTTCCCTGCAGTGGAGGTGAGGCTGGCAGGTCCCAACCCCTGTGCCATGGAGCTGAGCTGGGGAGCTGCATCGAGACCTCTGTGGAGGGGTCGGACCCAGCAGGATGTGCTGGAAGGAGGGTTTGTGCACGGGGTGGAGCAGGGCGAGGCAGGATGAAGCTCTGGGAGAACCATGGTGGGACAGGGTAGGGACACGTGGGCACTTGTCTCTTGGGGACAGCTGGGTCCCTGTACAGGTGTCCCCAAATTCAGGGCTGTCTCCCTATGGCAAAGCAGCATCTTCAGTCTCCCTCGGAGGGCTCGGTGCGTTTCAATGTTTCCTTGTCAGCGCGGGGGGCTCAGAGCCCCCTGTTCACCCCTCTGCTTTTCCCACCTGGGTGCTCCCACTTTGTCTTTCCCTTTTGCCTGGAGCAGCCCTGGTGCTGCCCTGGAGCTGGGGGGACTCTGCTGTGACCAGCAGGTCCAATCCTGCTGCTGCCAGCACTGCTGGGAAGGGGCCTCGTGGCCAACTGAGCCCAGCCTCTGGAGCGCCAGGAATGACTGTAGGCTTTTCAGAGGAGTGGGTGGGTGGGAGGGGAAGGGGGGACACCAAACCAAATGATTTGATGAATGAAAAGTAGAGTTCATTCTATTTAATTAATGTACAAAATGTGTTTGTATATAATAATAAATATTATCTCTAACAGCTCCTGCAGCTCTGCCCCACGTCCTGTCCCGTGTCCTGGGCTCCCGCCGGAACGTGATGTGTGGGGGTCCTGGGGGAGGGGGTGAATGCTGGATCCTGGGGAGCCCCCCCGTCCCGGGGTGTCGCTGTCTGGGGGTGTCAGGTCCGTGTCCCCTGGCAGGGCGGAGGGGCGGTGGCAGTGCTGGGGGCTGAACAGCAGCCCCGTCCCTGCCGTGCTCAGCGGTGCTGGGGAAGGGCTGCGGGGCTCTGAGTCCTTCCAGGGATGGGGAGTTATTCCATGTCCTCGGGAGGGAAGGGAGCACCGAGGCACAGTCTGTCCCGCTCCGTGTGTGGCACCTCATCCCTCTGCCCGAGGGAGACTCCGGCTCTGCTTTGCGGTGGCTCTGGGATCAGCCCGGCTTTGCTGCCCTGGAGCTTTCTCTCCGGAGGGAGGTTTCACTCCCGGCCTGTCCTGCTGCCCCCTCTCTGTGGGACCTTCCTGTTCCTCCTCCTAATCGCTGCCGTCCTGCGGTGGGGCTGAGCTGGGCCTGCGGAGGAGGGAGGGGAAGGGGAAGTGTTACTCTCGGGCCAGGCTTGGCTGCATTCAAGATGCAGCTGGAAGAGGAAAAGCAGACTTCACCTTCGGTCATTTTTATTTACATGGCGTAAAAGCAGAGTGGGCCTGTGGGGCTGAGCTTTGTCTGTGTGCTGCAGGGGCCTCTCACCCCATCTCAAGTCCCCTAAAAAGAACTCCCTGCCCTTCAACCCCCCCCTGCCAGCAGGAAGCAGGAAAGGAAGCGATGAAAGGCCCCAGAGGTTGGGCAGCCCCAGGACATTCTCCCTCCCTTTTTCCTTCCATCCCTCCACTCCTGCTCCGAGCTGGAGGAGTGGGTGCCCTGCCCTACCCCGCCCTGGGATGCTTGGGGGGTCCCTGCCCCCACCTCACCTCTCCTCCCGGGGTTCCTCGGGGGCCAGCAGGGCGGGCAGTGCCCGGCCGCCCTTGGCTGTGCCCAGCACGGCCACCAGCTCGCTCTTCCTCAGCAGCGCCGCGCGCAGCTGCTCCCGCATCTCCTGGATCTTCTCCTCCAGCTCCCGGAGCTCGCTCTCGCTGGCTGCCCTGTCCGGGGGTGGCGGTGCCTGCCCATTCCCGGGGTGCTGTGGGGTCCCCTCGCCCTCGGGGGGGGCTTTGTCCAGCTGGAATCGCACCCGCCGGGTCTCCTTCCGCAGGGCACTCCAGGGCTGTGCTGCTGCCGGTGCTGGCCTGGGCTGGGGCTCACCCCTGTGTGGGGAGGCAGAGAGGGCTGAGCTGGGATCTGGTTCCTCTGCAGCCCCCTGGGATGGTGGGTGTCCATAGGGAGGAGAAGAGTGGGCAGGCTCTCAGCCCTGGCTGTACCTCTGCTCCAAATTCAGCTGCTGGCTCTTCCGCTCCTCCATGCCCATGTTCAGAGCCCGATGGATTTTCTGTGGGGAGCAAGGGAAGAGTGAGATGTGGGGTGATGGTTTTGGGATTAACTGAGGGTGATGGTTATCTGGGAGTTGATGGTCTGGGGCTGGAGGAGGGCAGAGGTGGTGTAAGTTAAGAGGGAGCAGCGACATGGGGCCAGGGGTCTTTGGGTCACTGGGTGAGCCCCTCCCCGCTGTCCCCACCTGGCTCGTGTGCAGCCAGTAGTTGAATTTCTTCTTGCGCCGGATGCGGGGCAGGACCAGGCGGTAGAAGATGTGCTCGCCCAGCGAGGTGAGCAGGGAGCCACTGAGCCCGATGCACAGCAGCACAAACAGCCCCGAGAAGTGGTAGATGCCCATCTGCAGGGTCTGCAGGGAGCAGGGCGTGTGGGCTGGGCTGGGGGCTGTCAGACCCCAGAGCCCCCCCCGCCAAGGGCCGGCCGCCAAACCTCAGTGACAGCGAAGACGCGCTTCCCGCAGGGCACCATCTTGTACCACTTGTCGTGCAGGAGGTCGATGAACCCCGAGGACTTGTAGCGGCTGATGAACTCGGAGACGTTGGAGGTCAGCGGCGAGTTCTGGGGGAGGCCGATGCCGTAGCCTGGCCCCCGTGAGGGGGGAGAGAGCGGCAGCGCTGGGACAGGGGGTACAGCCCCCAGTGCCCTCCACGGAGGGGGCACCTCCTCACCCTGCCCGGTCATGTGTGACCACAGCCAGAGCACACGTGTGTACACACATGCACACACATGCACACACACAGGACCCCTCCCCACTACAGCCCCCCCAAACCTTCGATAGCAAAGGGTTTGCCCACGGTGAGCAGTTTGCAGTCGGAGTCGATGGAGACCTCATAGTCCAGCAGGGATTTGTCCATGATGAAGGCGTTGAGTTTCGGGGGCTCTGTCCTGCACCAGCATGGAGGGAAGCTCAGGGAGGGAAAGCTCAGGGAGGAAAGCTCCCCCTTTCCCAGCATCCCCCCAACCTGACACCCCTCCCAGGGGTGGGGGTGCTCGTGTGTGTGTGGGGGTGCACAGGCTGCAGGGAGGGCGCAAAAGCTGCCCTGGGAGGAGTAAAAGGTGGGAGGGAGCCCCCCATGCCCTTCCTGCTCCTCACTTGAGCATGGTGACCCCGTCGGGGGTGGTGGGGACGTTGTAGCGCCGCATGTACTCGTGCATCTCAGGGAAGCTCTTCTTGATGTACTCCTCAGCACTGCTCTCCCACACCGTGCCGAAGCGGAAGCCCTGCGAGGGGTGATGCAGCTGGAAGGAGGCACCAGAGCATCAGCACCCCTGCCCAGGGATGTGTACCCAGCCCTGAGCCCCAGGCAGGGGGCTCTGGGCAGCCCGTGGAGGTACAGCAGCTTTTTAGGGGTGTCTGGCAAAGAGCCCCCCCCCCCAGAGACAGCCTCAGGACGAACCCAGCCTAGTTCCCCCTGCCCTGGAGCTGAGGCCAGGATTAAACACCAGGGTAGGGGGGCCACAAAGCTTGCTGGGGGTCACAAAGACACCCCCCCTCAGTCTTGGAAGGGACCACACTGCAGGGCTGAGGCTAGAGAGAACTTTCACATTCATTCCAGCAGGGAAGGTGCAGAAGGAAGGACAGGATTTTCCTCCCTACCTTCCCTGGACCTCAGCCCTGCCTCAGCCCATCTGAAGCAGCCGGACACTCACCCACCTTTGGGTCGTGGATGCCCGAGAGCTCCTCGAAGGTCTTGTCCCCCACCATGACGGCCGCCAGGTTGGCCGTGTAGCTGGAGAGCACCAGGAGGCAGAAGATGGCCCAGAGGTTCATGAGGAAGCGGCCGGTGCAGCACTTGGGTGTCTTGCTGGAGACAGTGCGCCCAAAGAGGATGGCATAGCACAGGTTGAGGGCTGAGGAGTAGGAGAAGATCTTCATGCGGTTGCGGCCGTGGGGGGTCATGCCATAGGGGCTCTTCCACTCGTAGAGGGTGAGGAAAAGTGCCGTCATGTGCAGCGCCACGAAGACGCCCACCCACATGGTCCAGTGCAGGGGCCACATGAAGGCTCCGATGGGCGACGCCGTGTCCTTGGTCCTCACCAGGATGCCCAGGCTGGTGGAGAAGAAGGGGCTGGTGAAGTCGATGACTTTGCTCCGCGCCGAGTTGATGCTGAAGGAGGTGACAGCCATGTGGGCCGTGCCACTGAGCAGGTCCCCCACCAGTCCCGTCCAGCGCCCGTTCTTCCAGGCCCCGTATTTCCCATCGCCCACGATGTAGAGCTCGAAGTCAAAGGCCATGTCCTCGGCCAGCTTCTCCAGCAGGTCGATGCAGTACCCGTAGCAGCACTTCTTGTACGCCCGTGGCACTGAGCCATTGCCGGCGCCGAGCTCCTCGAAGAGGGCGTCCAGCACGGCCGAGTCGTTGGTGCCGGGGTCCAGGCAGAGCTGCCCAGCCGGGCAGTTCCCTTCCTCATCCACCTCCCTGGTGAAGACGAAGGGGTGCTCCACCAGCGTCACCACGCGCAGCCGCGCGCGGGCCCCCCCGGCCGCTTCACCGGGGCTCTTGTGCTGCCGCTGGCTCTGCCACATGCCCTCCTCCAGCTCCAGCTTGCCGTGGCTCCAGGTGCCCACCGTCACCCAGGTGGGGGCCCCCCGAGAGTCCCGACGCAGGCTCCAGACATGGAACTGCTGCTCTGGCCGCACCAGCGCCGCCTTCTCCACACGCACCAGCCCCGTCTGACCACGGAAGGACGTGTTGGCCAGGAACCTGCCGAGGGGAAGGTGTCACAGCTCCAGTGTCCCAGGTCAGCTGGGACCAAGGGACAGGGATGGGGATTGGGAGCAGGATGTGCCCAACTCAGACAGGGACAAGGTCAGGGAGGAACAGCAGGATCCGGCCCCGCTGTGCTGCCCCGCAGCTCGCTGTGCTGCCAGGGCCAAGTGTTATTAATATTTATGGAGCCACGGTGCTTGGGCAGCATTAGGGAGATCTGAAGTGACATGTCCCCCCCTGTGCAGCACAAACCGTGTCCCGGGGTGGGCTGAGCCCCACGGCGGCCGCTGCACACTCTGGGGACAGCACCAGGCAGTGCCCTGCACTGAGCCCAGTGGTCACCCAGCTCCGCTCTCGCCCCATCCCAGGGGTGGGGCACAGCCCCCCCATGCACCCCAATACCAAAGAGCTGGGACAGGGGGAAGGGGGCACCCCCAGTAGCCCCCTTACCTGGCAAGTAACAGCCCCGGGGACTTGCCACCCGCCCGGTGCCTCTCGCTGCAGTTGCTCGTGGTCTGCAGCAGGGCAGGGTCGGGGTGGCCGCGGGCGGCGCGGGCGATGGCCCGGGACACCAATCCCACCGCGTCCTGAACAAAGAGCTCCAGTGGTGGCCAGTTGACCTCACCGAAGGCCAGCAGCCCCAGGGGCAGCCCCTCGGTCTGCAGCTCGCTGGCACCGAGCGGGGAGCCCAGCATCCAGTGGAATTCCTGTGGTGGCAGCCCCGACTCCTCGGCTGCCTGGAAGACGAGCCGAGCACGGGGCAAGTCGCAGCCCAGCACCAGCACCGGGCTGGAGAGGGTCCTGACGTGCTCCCTGTGCTGCTGCAGGTAGCGGGTGGCCCTGGGCTCATCCAGGTAGCCCAGGTCCAGGACAGTGCGCAGGAAGAGCTGGGAGCGTTGGGCCCAGAGGTTGAGGAAGCCGGCGACGTCCCAGGGGTGGCAGAGCACCAGGCTGGTCTCCTGCCAGTCACTGGCCTGCAGGATGCTCACCAGCACGTCCACCAGAGTCTCCAGTGAGCTCTGCCGGTCCATGTGGAAGTGGAAGGGGCTCTGCCGACACACAGGGGTCGTGGCCGTGCCCCTGCTCATGGGAAGCACCCAGAGGCAGCACCAGGCACAGACCCTCCCACCCCGAGGTCACCCTGTGCTCCCTGCCCACCCCCTGCCCACTCCTTGTCTGGAATCCAGTGCCAGAACACGTCCCAGAGTCCTTCTGGAGCCAAACCGGGGTTGGGACTGGGGCTGAGGGATGAGGGGCTTCCAGAGGAACCAGGGAATTTGCCTTGGAGTGGGAGCTGGAATTGGGGCTGGGATAGAGCCTGGCAGAGGGACAGGAAGGAGCTGAGATGGGAGCTGGGATAGGGCCAGGATAGGGCTGCAATGGGGGCCAGGAGGGGGCTGGGATAGAGCAGCGATGGGAGCCAGATAGAGCCAGGATGGGGCCCGGGATGAAGCTGGAGCAGAGCCAGGATGGAGGTGGGAATGGGGGTGGGATGGGGCCAGGGTGGGAGACAAGATGGAGGGAGAACAGAGCCGGGAGGGAGCCTGGAGGGAGTCGGGATCCAGAAGGGATAAGGGGCTGGGATAGATTCGGAATTGGAGCTGGGATCAGGACCGGGATCGGAGGCAGGACTGAGCCGGGAGGAGGACCCGCGCGATAGAGCCGGTATGGAGCCGAGACGGGGACCAGGACGGGAGCACGGACGGAGCCGGGATGGGCACAAGGAGGGAGCCGACGAGCAGGGACGGGAGCGGGGACGGGGAGCTGCGTCCCGGCGGCCGCGGCGCGCCCGGCCGGTGCCGGTGCCGGTGCCGGTGCCGGTGCCGGTGCCGGTGCCGGTGAGGGGCGGGCGCTGCGGGTCTCACCTGCGCTCGGAAGGGCAGCGGCCCGCGGGTGTCCAGGATGCTGACGAAGGGGACCTGGAGGGCGGCGGCGAGGAAGTCGAGCTGGAGCAGCTCCCGGCGGGAGCGGGGCAGCGCCAGGACGGCGGCCACGCCGCGTCCCGCCAGAGCCCCGCACAGCCACCGCGCCAGCGAGCCGGGGTCCCTCGCTGCCGGGCCGCCCCCCACCACCTCCAGGCTGAGGTTGTGGGGCAGCGCCGCCCCGCC